TCGAAATAGCCGACTGGCGGCCATTTGTTTAAAGAATTCAGTTCTGGATCCGTATCCGAGACATGTCTGGATTGATCAAGTTCAAACTTCACACACACAAGGTACATCATGTCACAAATATGTATGTGCATTTGTTTCATGATCTCATTAACGATAGCCAAATGGGGGCCGCTTTAAGGCCGAAAATGCATTGAAATCGCACATTTTCACCATTCCGGACCCATATCTCAGTTATGCATGGATGGATTTTGTTCAAATTTGGTACATACATTAAACATAATAGGACCTTGATGCACGTCTTTTTTTTTTTTCGGATCAAGTTCGAAATGGCCGACTGGCGGCCATTTTGTTAAAGAATTCAGTTCTGGATCCGTATCCAAGACATGTCTGGATTGATCAAGTTCAAACTTCACACACACATGGTACATCATGTCACAAATAGATATGTGCATTTGTTTCATGATCTGCTTAACAATAGCGGAATGATGGCCAATTTAAGGCCGAAAATGCATCAAAATCACGTATTTTCACAATTCCAGAACCGGATCTCAGTCATGCATGGATGGATTTTGTTCAGATTTAGCACAATGTGTTGTACATATGCAGGTGCATTTCGGTCATGATCTGCTTTGAATGTATATGTCACTCAAATATGAACGGAACGGGGACATGTCATTGACAATGACTTGTTATATTCGGGGTCACATTCGACAAAGCGCTCACCCCTTCAAAATGCCAATAATTTATCGTTTTTATATGATACAGCATGAATATCGACCGCCGTGAATATGTTGTGAATGCGTAGACCACGGTAACCGTGCATAAACTACACTTCGAAAATGACCTGTTAATAAAAGTAAAATGCAGTAAATATTTCATGCCGTATTCAGTTTACCGATAAAAATTGCTATTTACCATTTAAAAAATAAAAAAATATTGTTTATTCGCCGAAATCAACTCCAATAGATCGTACTTCGACATCGATAATTCAGTTCCACATTGCGTTACCCGAGGGTCTTCTGAAATTTCTAAATTTCTGAAGAATTGCGTCGGTACCACACAGCATTTTGATTTGATAATAACAGATTTGACCCGTTAGGTCAAAAGATGTTGATGCAGGTCAAATGCAAATACATCATGGCGGAAAGACTTTGCGTACAATAAGACACATTTGTCAGTGGCGATAATGATGAAGATTTTGACTTTGACTGTGTTCCAACAGACTCAAATATTTTTAATCTCGTAAATTCGGGTGGTACGTAATTAATATTGTAATAAAATGTGCATATTTGACCATTTTAGTTTCTTCATTGTAAGACTCACCTAATTTCGTAATTTTATTTTGCCTCAAACTTTTAAAGACGTAATATCCCCCTAAATCTGTCACATGGTGAATTAAAATTGTCAGTTTCACTCTTTTCCGAGGGGGGTGCTCGGGTAAGCGCCCACCCCCAAAAAATCTTGATTTTATGAGTTGAGGACCTTGGGCACTAACGCGGTCGAGTACGGTATCATTAGTAATGTATCCCCCAAATCCCATGGGAATACTATACTGGGTTTCAAAACAAACTCGTGGAGAGAGTTTTTCACAGTCTGATACACATTTGCAAACCTAAAATCTTTACAGAAAACAAGATAAGCACTCCTAGGAATTGGGTGCCAAACTTTGACCAAGATCTGAAGCTAATAGAAAATCTATTTAGTCCAAAGTTATCAAATCAAAAACAATACATAAAAAGCAAAACGTTGCATCCACATTTTGAAAATAAAATTGTATTCAAAAATAGGTATTCTGTATTTGACAAACAGTTCATTCGACAAATGAAAATTCACAGGAATTTGTTTCAGTTATTAGTAATAATTTAAAAACACACTTTAAAAACAAAGATTGCAGTGTTTGAATATGTAGATTCTCGGGAGGCAAATGTACTGTTGACTTCTCTCTCACTGGACACCAACTATTTAAGTTAATTCGCATTACAAAGCAGAGCTTGCAACATGATAGAGGACGTTTTTTTTTTTTACTTTTCAAATAATACAGTAGTCAACAATGAATATAATAAGGCAGTTCGTGTTTGTCTCAGTGAATCATTAATTTTTAACACATGTACAAAATACTTGGGCAAAAGCCAGCTAAGATTTTCTGGTATTTTGCTTGATTTATGAGTCTGTTCACGTCTAAATGCAGCACTTTTTTAGCTCCGCTGTCGACTTTGTCGAGTGGAGCTTATCATATGAGTGATTGTCTGTCTCCATCGTCCGTGTCAATGTTTTACTTTTTTGACTTCTTCTTGAAAACTACAAGCCTGAATGCTTTGATACTTGGTGTATATGTACAAATGTACCTTGGGTGGACCTCTCTCAGATTTGTTCATTTCATGATCAATTCTCTAATTTTGGTGAATATTTTTGTCATTTTTGGTAAAAAGTGATATTTTCGACTTCTTGTTAAAAACCTCAAGTCCAATTGCTTTGATATTATTAGTCCCCGTTCGGACCTAGTCCGAAAACGGGGACTTATGTTTTGCCCTCCGTGCGTCCGTGATCACCTGTATCTTGAACATGCATGGACCGATTAAGTTCAAACTTCACTCATATATCACACATTATATGGGACATATGCACATGCATTTTTTTCATGATCCGATTAATGATAGCCGAAAAGCGGCCATTTTAAGGCCGAAAATGCATCAAAATCGCACATTTTCACCATTCCGGACCCGGATCTCAGTTATGCATGGACGGATTTTGTTTAAATTTGGTACATACATTAAACATAATAGGACCTTGATGCACGTCATTTTTTTTTTTTTTGGGATCGGGTTTGAAATGGCTGACTGGCGGCCATTTTGTTTTAAAGAATTCAGTTCTGGATCCGTATCTGAGACATGCCTGGATTGATCGAGTTCAAACTTCACACACACAAGGTACATCATGTCACAAATATGTATGTGCATTTGTTTCATGATCTCATTAATGATAGTCAAATGGCGGCTGCTTTAAGGCCGAAAATGCATTGAAATTGCACATTTTCACCATTTCGGACCTGGATCTCAGTTATGCATGGACGGATTTCGTTCAAATTTGGTACATACATTAAACATAATAGGACCT